CGTGGTATCCATCCCATAGTGTTATTTCCATTCCACTTTCACCATCGGGATGGACTTGCTTCTTAACCGTTTCACTTAAGGGGCAATGATTCGTTCCGGCCATTCTGCATATTCCATATTTTATCAAGAGCTTTCCGGTGATAATCAATTACATGAAGCGGATCCCGAAGATAACCCCTCAACATCGATACATGAAACACATTATGGATTTGCTCGAATCCCGGTGGCAAAGCAACTCTATAAGCAACTGGACCAAGTTTTTCCAAGATCTGAAACGGCCCAATGTAACGAGGCGACAATTTTCCTTTCTTATCAAACCTTACTTGGCCTTTCATCGAGGTCATGCGAATAAATACGTGGTCACCAACCTCATGCTCAAGAGGTCTTCTTCGAACATTTGTATAACTCTTTTGCTGACTTTGAGCTGTCTTGAGCCTTTGCTGAATAGTTTTGATCTTCTCAAAAGTATCTTGCACAATTTCAGGCCCAAGTAGAGCCCTATCCCCAACTTTTGTCCAACAAATTAGTGATCTACACCTTCTACCATACAAAGCCTCGTATGGTGCCCTACCGATACTGGAGTGGAAGTTGTTATTGTATGCAAACTCTGCTAATGGAAAATAATTTTCCCAACTCCCTTGAAAATCCAAGGCACACATTCTTAGCATATCTTCCAACGTCTGTATCATCCGTTTTGATTGTCCATCTGTTTGTGGATGGAATGCAATACTGAATCTCAATTCTGTCCCCATTGCTCTTTGTAGGCTTTTCCACAATCTAGACACAAGCTTCGGATCTCTATCCGAGACAATGGACACCGGAATTCCGTGCAAACGAACAATTTCATCAACATATATAGTAGCCAATCTATAAGCATCAAATGTAGTTCTGACAAGTAGAAAATGTGCAGATTTAGTCAGTCTATCAACTATAACCCAGATAGAATCCATACCTCGAGGAGTGCGAGGTAGACCAACAACAAAGTCCATAGTCACATGCTCCCACTTCCGTTCAGGAATAGGGAGTGGTTGGAATAAGCCGCCCGGTTTCTGATGTTCAGCTTTAACTTGCTGACATTGAAGGCACTTAGACACATACTTTGCAATTTCTTTCTTCATTTTAGGCCACCAATAACTTTGTTTCAAATCCTGATACATTTTGTTATTACCCGAATGCATAGCAAACACTGATTTATCGGCTTCATCTAGAATTCTCTTCTTTAAGTCGGGAATGTTTGGAACACACAATCTGTTTTGGAATTTCGGCACCTTATTTACCACACTATATTTCGGTCTCGGATTCATTTCAAATTCATCAATCACTTTCTTGAGGAATTCATCATTTTTTTGTCTCTGTTTAATCTCATCAATGATTGCTAGTTCGGCTGAAATAGCGGCTATCAATCCGCCATGTTCACACAATACCACTTCAATCTCGGACTTCTCAAAATCTTACAAGATGTCTTTCTGTTCAATAAGTAAACAATCCAAATTTTCCATCGATTTTCTGCTCAAGGCATCAGCAACTGCATTGGCTATCCCAGGGTGATACTGGATTTCAAAATCATAATATTTTATCAACTCAAGCCATCTCCTCTGTCGCATGTTTAGCTCTTTCTGTGTAAAGAAGTACTTCAAACTTTTGTGATCCGTGTAGACTTCACATTTTTCCCTATATAAGTAATGCCGCTAGATTTTCAAAGCAAATACAATTGCGGCCAATTCTAAATCATGTGTTGGGTAGTTCTTCTCATGTGGCCTCAACTGCCGAGAGGCGTAGGTAATTACCCTTCTGTTCTGCATTAGTACACAACCCAACCCTTTATAAGATGCGTCACTGAAAATTATAAAGTTTTCTGTACATGTGGGCAATGTCAATATTGGTGCAGTGGTTAGTCTCATTTTCAGTTCATGAAAAGTAGATTCTCTTTCGTCATTCCATTCAAACGGTTGCCCTTTGCGTGTCAATTGGGTAAGAGGCACAACTATTTTTGAAAAGTCTTTTACAAACCTCCTGTAATACCCGGCTAAGCCCATGAAGCTGCAAACTTCTGTTACATTTGCTGGTGTAGGCCAATTCACAATTGCCTCTATCTTCTGCGGGTCTACTGAAATTCCCTCCTTGTTGATAACATGCCCTAAGAAGATAACTGTCATGACTCGAACCCGCCCCTATGGGTTAAGGACATAACTGACCAGTAATCAAGGGATTACCTACGACCTCAAACCATTCCAGACATAACTCAACAGAGTAAAGGGGCCAAATGGAAGCAATCTCAAACTTTTGTCCATAGAGCTGTGCTTATATGGCACGTCATAACAATCCATACGTATACATGTTAATAACTCACATCAAAATATGTATTAACACAAAGTTCTGTACATACAGGATCATTCAAGTCTAGGTTAGCCAATCAAAACTATATACAAACGTATCCAAAGTCCTCTCCAACATGACAAAATAAAGCAAGATAGCAAAAGGGCGAAGACGAGTCTCGTGCGTGAGACGTAAGGGCTGACTCTGCAAAACCTTGGTTGTTCCACACAAACTTCACTGAGGCTAGGTTTGGACCTCCCTTGGCTCACCTACAGACACATGAATGAGCGTGAGTGAAAACCCAATGAATAATATCAAATAAAGAAGTTACACAAGCAGTATTTAGAACAACGTGCTTCAAACAGCCTTGGGCCCAATTCGTATTTCTATCTAGCATATGTTTAAATATAGGTCAAGTGACTGCGGTTCCAAACACACCATATGGCCTCGGGCCCAATTCATTCGTGTCATGCGGCCTCTGGTCCACTTATTCATATCATTCATGTCAAACTGGCCTTCGGCCCATTCATTCTTTCGTTCATGTCAAACTGTCCTTTGGCCCATTCATTCTATCTTTCATGTCAGACTGGCCTCTGGCCCATTCATTTTTTCATTCATGTCAAACTGGCCTTCGGCCCATTCATTCTTTCATTCATATCAAACTGGCCTTCGGCCCATTCATTCTTTCATTCATGTCAAACTGGCCTTTGGCCAATTCATTCTTTCATTCATGTCAAACTGGCCTTTGGCCCATTCATTTGGCATTGCAAACATTTGTCTACCATTCAAATTAACAAACTCATAAGACTTACACAGAAGTAAGCAATTGGACAAACAACATACTTCAGATATCTTTATTAAGATATTACTCACAGTGATCGGCTGGATGATTTGCCCTGGAACTCGACCCTACACATTCCAGGAACACAATGGGTCACAAACAATCCAATTCGTTCTTAATTCACATATTCCTCTTTAGGCTTCTTTCTTATTCTTTTAATTCATTCATAATGCTCAATGCATGCCTAAGAGTACTTAGAAGTGAAAGAGAATAGAAAACGAAACACAGAACATCTTTACAAAATTTCTAAAACAGGGGTCCCCGCTCGAGCATGGACTTCCCCGCTCGAGCGGACCCATTAGGTCTGCAAAAGTTCTGGTTACCTTATTTTTACGCTCGAGCGTGAATTCGGACGCTCGAGCTGAAGGTCATTCCACAAAGCTCCCCGCTCGAGCGTGAACTTCCTCGCTTGAGCGGACATCCATGACTGTAAAAATACTGGGAGCCCGTATTTTACGCTCGAGCGGCGGTTCCCCCGCTCGAGAGGACCACAATAATTCTGGGTTTTCCAGAACTTGTTCTTGAGCTCAACTTCGACCTTCAAAGGTCCAAAACCCACAATTCCAATTTCAAAACATGCCAATACAATACATAGCACATGGATGTAAACAACATGAGGCCAATCATTCAAAATCATAGTCCAATTCTTCAAAATTAATCACGGCTCATGCATTCAACTCTCATATAAGCTCTATATCTTTAATAATCAAACATGCATGTCAATTTTGACTTCATTTCTATTTCAAATAATGCAATTGGTGTTCATTCTCATGAAACTCAATAAAAACATGCTTGCATGTATGATCCAACTCTCAATCTTTCATAATTCACATATTACATGCTAAATTATGTAATTTCATAGGAGTTCTCTACATGCATGCACACATGGACTTCAAACTCATCAAATACAACACAATTCTTGTTCTTGATCACCAATCAACTTTGAATTCACAAAGTTACAATATTAAACTCATGAATTCCTAACCAATTACTCACCTAGAAGCTCAATCTTTCCAATTTATGATCAAATCTTGAGTATGCCTTCAAGATCACCAAGTTCCCTAGCCAAATCTCTACCTTGAGCCTCCCCTCTCACTAAATTCGGCTCCTCTCTCTCTCTCTAGAGCATAATTTCAGATGTTGAGTTCAAAAGAAACAAAAATGAAGGTGTATAATGGCCCTTTAAAAGCTCCCTCTCAATACATTTCTTTAATATTAAATAATTGGGCACCATTTCATTAATTTAATCCATTTAATTTGATCTGAATCAATTTTCAATTAAATTTCACTGTAGGCTCTAAAAATTACGCCAATCACATTGGCGCAGTCAATCTCGGTTTCTGTGGCCGATAGGGCCTTTAATTTAAATTCCAAAGCAGATAATCAAACATATATTCCTATGGTGAACAGATAGAAATTCAATTTAAAAGCTCCCTCTCAATACATTTCTTTAATATTAAATAATTGGGCACCATTTCATTAATTTAATCCATTTAATTTGATCTGAATCAATTTTCAATTAAATTTCACTGTAGGCTCTAAAAATTACGCCAATCACATTGGCGCAGTCAATCTCGGTTTTTGTGGCCGATAAGGCCTTTAATTTAAATTCCAAAGCAGATAATCAAACATATATTCCTACGGTGAACAGATAGAAATTCAAAACCACATATTTTCACATAAATGGCACACACAATCATATCAAACACATAATCACATTCATAATAAGGACCAATTAGCATAATACGGAACAGGGTTATCACAACAACTTCATCCAGCCAAAATTCACATTTCTTTAGTTTGACAAATAATTTCTTTTCTCTAAGTGTTTGCAAAACAGTCCTCAGATGTTGTTCATGTTCAAGTCTGTTCCTTGAATATATCAAGATATCATCAATAAAAACGACAACAAATTCATCAAGGTAGGTCTTAAAAATTCAGTTCATTAGGTCCATAAACGCTGTAGGGGCATTAGTTACCCCCAAATGGCATAACAAGAAATTCATAGTGACCATACCTCGTTCTGAATATTGTTTTTTCAACATCGTTTGCCTTTACTTTCAATTGGTGGTATCCGGATCTCAAATCAATTTTGGAAAACACCTGTGATCCCTGTAACTGGTCAAATAAGTCATCAATACGAGGTAGAGGATATTTATTCTTTATTGTTACCTTGTTCAGTTCTCGATAGTCAATACATAAGCGTAAGGTTCCATCTTTCTTTTTCACAAATAACACCGGTGCACCCCATGGTGAAGTACTAGGTCGAATAAACCCTTCATCAAGTTGGTCCTGTAATTGTTCTTTCAATTCTTTCATTTCAACAGTAGCCATTCTATAGGAAGTTTTAGAAATAGGCTGAGTGCCTGGCATAACTTCAATAGTAAACTTTATCTCCCTATCTACCAATTCCCCTGGCAATTCATCTGGGAACACATCTGGAAATTCGCTAACAATAGGGATACTACTCAATTCAACATTCACAGATTGTTCAGATAGCACATAACACAAGTAACCCTGGCACCCTTTCCTGATCAATTTACATGCTTTCATTGCAGATATTAAATAATGTGGAAGCACTACCCCGTTACCCACAAGCACAATTTCTTCCTGTTCTAGTGGTCTAAACACAACCCGTTTCGTTACACAATCAATGGTGGCACAATATTTAGTTAACCAATCCATGCCCAAAATTACATCGAAATGTCTAAAATTCAAGGGCAACAAATCTACATAAAGAATAGCATTTCCAATACGCATGTCACAAAATCAATATACAAATACACATAACACAGATTCCCCAGATGGAGCACACACACATAGCAAATATAGCAATGGTTCTAGAGGTCTACTCAGTCTAGATGCAAACGCACAAGTTACGAAAGAGGGTATTGATCTAGAATCAATTAACACAAAAGCATCCTGATTGCATATAGTGATAGTACCTAAGACAACGGCTTCAGCATTCCGTGTATCGATTGGAACAAGCGCAAAAACTCTCCCTTGCCTCACAGTACCCCTAGCGATAGTAGATCTCATAGTATTTCCTGGTTTCGAGATGGATGCCGTTGAGCTAGCAGCTAATTTTTCACTATTCTGATTACAATCTCTGGCCATGTATCCTGTTTTACCACATTTAAAGCAGGCTCCCGACACACGGTAACAAACTCCGTGATGCCTTTTACTACAAATGTTGCACATAGGAGATGTATCTCAGGAAGAATTAGAAGTACTTGAGGAGCTTGTATTCTGCTTCTTTGAAAATTTCTTCTTCGAAAAGAAGTTTTGTCTTTTATTACCCTTCCAGTCAGTTGTCAATTTAGCTTGTCTGGCTATGTTAGCTTCAGATATTATGGCTTGGTCTAACACCTCAATATAGGTCTCCAGTTTGAGAACATTCACTTTTTCTAGAATATCATCCCGGAGTCCCCCTTCAAAATGTCTCGCTTTCTTGTAGTTGGTGTCGACCACATGCGGTGCAAACCTAGCCAATTCAATGAACTTGGTCTCATACTCAGCTACAGTCATGCTGTTTTGTTTAAGTTTCATAAATTCGGACACCTTTCTGTCACGGACACACTGTGGAAAGTATTTGTCATAGAAAACCTCCAAGAACCGTGCCCAACCAATATCCTTATTGTTTTCACGCATTAGCATCCACCACCTTCTTGCCTCATCTTCAAGAGTAAAAGTGGCTAGCAATACTTTCTGTGTCTCTGAACAAGGAAACACTTCAAATAGCTTTTCAATGCTGAGAACCCATGCTTCGACCTTCAACGGATTTAATCCCCCATGAAACTGTGGCGGTTTCATTTTCTTAAACTATTTGGTGAGAGTTATTATTCGATCATCATTCTGATTATCTTGAACATGTGGTACTGGAGGAGGAGGCGGAGGGTGTGGTTGTTGCCACTATTGTTGTTGCCTCAATGTTTCTGCCATTTCCTGAATCAATCTTTTCATTCTATCCATTCTGGTAGTAGAAGACTCCTCTATTTTATCACCCCTTGTTCTCACCATCTGATTAGACTTGCATTATTCTTTATACAAAAGTTTCATAAGTACGCATATACTGAAGAGCACACATATTCAAATAATGTGCAATGCAAGCAAATCACAAACTTATAGCACATAATTGTTCACTTTGAAGCATTTAAGCATATTCTTGATGTTTTCCAATTCATACTTATCACATGAATGGATCCTAGATCTTTTCTAGACGCTTATTGCTCATTTGGACAAGTGTGTGAGTTATTAACTCGTGCTCTGATACCACTCTGTCAGGACCCAAACCCACCCCTATGGGTTAAGGACATAACTGGCCAGTAATCATGAGATTACCTACGGCCTCAAACCAAGTCAGACATTTTACCAACAGAGTTAAGGGGCCAAAACGGAAGCAACTTAAAACTTTGTCCATCGAGCTGTGCTTACATGGCACATCATAACATTTCATATACATTTGTTAATAACTCACATCAAAAGGAAAATAACTCGAAGTTCTATACAGATAGGATCATTCAAGTATAAGTCAGTCAAACCCAAAGTTTATACACAAAGGCGATCCAACATTTTTGCCAATATAGCAAAATTATGGCAAAAGAACAAAAGAGGCGAAGACAAGTCTCATGCGTGAGACATTTGGGGTGACTCTTCAAAATCTTGACTGTTTCTCACATATTTCACCGAGGCTGGGTTTGGACATCTCTTGGCTCACCTACATACACATGAATGAGTGTGAGCGAAAGCCCAGTGAATAATATCAAATAAAGAAAGTACACGAATGAGATTCACATATATCAAACGGCCTTGGGCCCATTTAGAATTCTATTTAGTGCGTTGTTTGGTACATTAGACGATTCAAGCCTAAACATATCAAACGACCCCTGGCCCATTTCATTCCTTAACAAACGGCCTCAAGCACAAATCATTGATGTCCGACGGCCTTTGGCCCAATCATTTATGTTAAACGGTGTCCGACGGCCTTTGGTGCAATCGTTCATGTCAAACGGTGTCCGACGGCCTTTGGCCCAATCATTCATGTCAAACGGCCTTCGGCCTAATCATTCATATCAAACGGCCTTCGGCCCAATCACTCATGTCAAACAGCCTTCGGCCCAATCATTCATATCAAACGGCCTTCGGCCCAATCATTCATATCAAACGGCCTTCGGTTCAATCATTCATGTCAAACGGCCTTTGGCCCAGTCATTTGTGTCCAACGGCCTTTGGCCCAACCATATGGCATAACAAATATTTGTCCACAGTTCAATTTAACAAACTTATAAGACTTATATGGTAATAAGCAATTGGACAAATAACATACTTCAAATATCTTTACTAAGATATTACTCACAGTGTTCTGCCGATGGATTTGTCCTCGTGCTTGACCCTACACATTTCAAGAACATGATGGGTCACAAACAATTCAATCCGTTCTTAATTCATATATCCTTCTTAGGCTTCTTTCTTATGTTTTTAACTCATTCACAATGCTTAATGTATGCCTAAGAGTGCTTGGAAGTGAAAGAGAATGGAAAATGAAACACAGAACACTTTTACAAAATTTCTGAAACAGGGGTCCCTGCTCGAGCGTGGGTTCCGCCGCTCGAACGGACCCCCATGGTCTGCAAAAGTACTGGTTGCCTCATATTCACGCTCGAGAGCTAATTCGGACGCTTGAGCTGAGCGTCAAACATATGCCTTGGATGCTCGAGCGTGATTCTCTCCGCTCGAGCGGACGACAATGTCTGCAAAACTGCTAGGAGCTAGCATTTCATGCTCAGGCGGTCATTACCCCACTCGAGCAGACGTGCCGAATTCTGGAACTTCCAGAATTGTTCTCCAAGTTCAAACTCAAAGTTTAAAGGTTCAAAGCTCATGCTTTGGACACAAAAACATGGTAACATATTACATAACATGAGAACAACAACAATATGAGGCCAATTGCTCAAATTCATGGTCCATTTTTCCAAAATCATTTTGAATTCTCTTCATGGTCCCAAAATATGTATATTCACCTTCAAACCAATTCCATATCTTCATCAATCATGCATGCATGTACATTCTTGACTCAAATTCTATCTTAACTGGTACAAACAAGGCTTATGATCATGAAGCTTATGAAAATCATGCATGCATGTGAGATTTGGTGCCCAATTCTTCTTGTTCAACATAATTCATTCTTGAATATACAAAATTATAGCAATTATGCACATGCATGTTCATACAAGCTCCAAATTCAATAAATTTAATTCAAGTTATGTTCTTGATCACAATCCAACCTTGAATTTACAAAATTACAAACTCAAACTTTTGAATCCACTCACCTAGGAGCTCAATCCTCACAATTGTAGTTAAATCTTGAGCCTAGCCTTCCAATTTCACAAACCTTGAGCCAAATGCACAAAAATGCCTTCTCTTTCACTCAAGGGTTGGTTCTCTCTCTCTCTCTAGAGAGTAAGTTCAAATTTTTGAGCTTAAGTCAGTTGTATATGAGTGTAAATTGGCCTATTTATAGGCTCTCTTAATAAAATGGATTAAGACTAAACAATGGTACTCTAATTAATCATTCTGAATCTAATTACTTTGATCCGAATCAATTTTCAATTAAATTTCACCATAGGCTCACAATGGCGTAGTCAATTTCAGGTTCTGTGGCCTGTAAGGCTTCCAATTTTCAATTCATAACAATAAGTTGAACAGATTTTTCTACGATGAATAGATATAAAATCAAAATCACATATAATCATATAAATGACACTCAAAATCATGTTAAACACATAATCACAATCATAATTAAGATCAATTAGCATAATACGAAACAGGGTCATCACAAATCTGGTGTTGGTGTTGGTGTTGGTGTTGGCATTGGTGTTGATGATCATGATCAAACAGATAGATTTTTGTTGATGATGATCAAACATATGAATTTTGTTTCTGTTATAGAGAGAAAAGAAAGATAGTTTTATTTTTGTTTTTGTGTTGAACAAATAAAGGATGAGAGAGAGATAGCAGATCGTAAAATATGCTTAAAATTTGAACAGATAAAAAAATAAAATAGATAAAAAAATTCAACAGATAGTTTTAAATAGATAAATGAAAAATTAAATAGATAATAAAATTTGAACTAAAAAAAATGAATAAATAGATGGATTTAAACGGATAAATAGAAAAAATTGAGTAGATAATAAAATTTGGATAGATATTTGAACAAACAAAGGAAAAAATTGAATAGATAGATATAGAATTTGCAGAGATAGGGAAAATTTTGAACAGATAGAAAGAAATTTGAATAAATAGTCAACAAAAGTCAACAAATAAAAAAAAGTTAATAGGTAAATTAAGGGGTAAAATTAAAAATAAAATGTCATTCAAAATAATTAAAAGCACCTCTCACTAAACTATTTCACAAATGGTGGATTTCTTACCAATAAAAAAATGCACTAGACCTAATGTCTTATACACCCTTTAAATTGGATTTATCACCAATTTCCTCAAAAAGAAAAGAAAAAAGCAACATTAAAAACATAGAAACCAAAAATAAAATAGAATAGAACATAGAAGTTTCACAATAGATAGGACATGTAAAACTCACATTTTATGTGTCACTCTGTATTTGATTTTCTATACCCTTAAAGTAATTGTTAAAAAATAAATAAATAAAATTAACTATAGAGGTAAGTTTGTTCTCAACATAACACATTCAACTAGGCTTTGCTCTCATTCAAGAAAGAAGCCACTCATTTCAGCATAGCCACAGCATTATCACAAGTCGGGTTAAATAAGTGGAACACATGGCCCTCACCTGGGGCTTCCATAGCCTTCACCACTCCTCTCCATCCACTCTTCTGTAACACCTCTAAAAAAACTAAAAATCCCTGAGATGTTTATTTGTGATTATGTATCAATTTTAAATAACAATTCCAATCAAACAATCAAAGATAAATTAACACAACGATTTAACGTAGACAAACCACAATTGGAGCACCTCCAATTGTGATAAATAAAAACCACGGGTAAAAGTCACAAAATAATTCACTAAGAAGACAAAAAAGAATTACACAAGTGTACTCTCAATTATTTAGCGAATCTAAGCCTAAATTAAATCGACCCTTATACGTCTCTTCCACCACCGTCTTTATCTCGAAATTGTCTTGCTCAACGTTGAATCCACAAAGCCAATGTCCAATCTACGACGATGAGCCACTCCGAAATCCACCAAAGCTTTAGGCCCAAATTCCACAGAATCCACCGAAGATGAGCCACTCCAGAATTCACCAAAGTTTCTGGCCCAAATTCCACGGAATCCATTGAAGAACCAATCTCTCTTTTGTGAATGAAATAAAATAAACAAAACCCCTTTAATATAATCCACTCAATTCATGATATAAACTCTCACAGATATCACAGGAAACAAGTAAAGAAGCTCAAGATGAAAACCCTATTACCCAAGAAGAAGATCTGGAATCCGTACCCTAGAAACAGAATTAATCGTAGATTTATAGAAAACAGAATCGCGATCTCCGCTCGAGCGTAGGAATGGCCGCTTGAGCGGACTGACTAAAACGCGTGTTTCAGAACAAGGGTCTACGCTCCAGTGCAGGAAAGGCCGGTCTAGCATAAAAATCCAACTCCCAATACTTTTGTAGGTGAGTGAAACTTCTGAAAGAATTGTATCTTCACTTGAGCACACACTTGGCCTGTGACAACCACCTCCTTAATTAAGAAAATTAATTAAATTAATTATATGCTTATTGTTAATTATGTAATTATGTGTTATGTGAAATATGTGCCATATGATATATACTTGC